TCACTAGTGTAAAGGTCTTTCGCATGGCAGGCGCCTTCTGGGACGATCGATCAGCCAGTTCACAAGGTGACGTCCGTTTAATCGCAAGTAATTTAATTAGTAGTCGTTTTGAAACTGGTGATCTCGTCGATTTCGCTGGTCTAATCAAATGCATACGTTTTCAGCACCCTGAAAAATATTTGTTAGCATTCCATTCGAGCGTCAATCGTTCCAAAACTGCAGATTATATCACGGCCACAAAATTGGTAGCCAAATCGATACGAACCAGATTGCTTGGTGGTTCTGAGATTTGTCTGTCCACTCGCCACGGGACTTGCCCGATAAAAAAACAGATTGGCTACCTTGAACCCCCAAAGCCATTATAAAACAATCACGTCTTTTGGGGTGTCTTCTTCGCACATACGATAAAAGTAATATTAGCAGTAGTAGTGATATTAACAACAATACCACCGATGCTGTTTGGCCTGTGGAACCTTTCGTAGTCCTCTGATCCATGTTCCTGGACATGACTTGCAAGTTGCTCCTGAAAGAAAAAGATGTAAGTATAGGATTCCAGTCTTCCAGTCTCGATTTATCACACTAGGCAGTTGAATGTTAGAGTGACTTAACTCTAACGATTTGTAAAGTAGCTGTCGAAAACGTTTCAATAACCTTACAAGTTAGTGTACCGCACCAAGTAAACAGGATCCCATTTATAAAGTTCAGTGAGGTATAGTAGGAATACGGTCATCCCAAATCGTCTTCTATTAAATCGCGAAGAGTTCATCTTAAAATGATAGCTGTACACGATAGGGATCAATGGCTTTGCCGGTGGGTGGAGTACTCCAACGAACAATTCAGCTGGCCAGGTGCTAACCAAACTATCTCGTCTGGTGTAGTTGAGGCTCCAAGGAAAGTGTCATGTGAACCTCCTACTGCAGCAGAAGTTCGTTCTTGCATCCAAGCCCTGAAGAAAGGAAAAGCAGCAGGGTAGGACGGGCTTCCGCCCACTCTTTTCAAGATGGGGGCCATGACCTTGTAGACTCCATTACGGATCAAATTGGTGACATATGGTCACACGAGCGCCTTCCATCATCCTGGAGCGAGTCGCTGATTGTTTCAATTTTTAAGAAGGGATCTCGCAACGACTGCGCGTTTGCGCGAAATGAGATTGATCTGTCATCACGAAGTTACTAGCCTCCATCATACTTCGACGTCTGACACCGTTCAGGAAGACAAATATCCGCGAACAACAAACAGGATTTCGACCAGGCC